AAAAAACATGCTACACTGCCCTAAGTAGAACCCCATTCCGATTCCACTTTTAACATGTCCATTTAACTCCATTTTCAGCACTATGCCCTCATCTGCACAACTGATTCCCCCGATAAGATCTCTACGACCGTACAAGTGACGATTTTCATGCTTTTTCGTCCCACAGCTTCGTTTTTCATTGAAAGGAGGGCCTGAGGGCGGAGTCTGGAGGCGGAGTCACTGGAAAAAAGGAGGCGTCACTGAACCTTACGCTATAGCGCCCCTCCCTTACAATTTTTTGCCGCGAAACCGGTACAAGGTTGTTCGTCGCGGACCACACTACCCTCCCAACGCCATATTTTCAACTTCTATACCTGATAGCGGACCGTACCTTCAAGGTTTGATGAATCTTTGACATACCGAAGTGAAGGATAAACTGCATAGCGTTGACTTAACCCCACTTCATTGCAGAATCGCAAAGGATTGAGGAGGTTGGAAAATTGCTGAAGGTTGCACCTATAAGAAGAGGTCTCTCCATAAGTTGCATGAAACAGGACGAGAGGACGCCAGACGTACACCAACGTCTACAGTAGCTTCTACTGCAGAAGCTAGGGCGTCCCAGAGGGGCTGACTTTAGGCCGTTTTCCGCCATCTGCCGAAGCTTACAAGCGACAGGTGGTGCGACAGACAGGTAAGATGGCAGAGACGATGAGAGAGGTGGGGAGGGAGGGGTCGAACCGAAGGAAGAAATTTTGGGAAATCGTATTTCAAAATATTTCCACGATCTGATGGTGCGCCGTGGCTCCTATAGTGTGGGTTCCATGGAAGCAGAACCGCTTCCCGCCCAAGTTGACCTTCACGGATCCCAATAGGAAACAAGCTTGTTGATGGGCTGAAGCTTTCAATTAGACGAAGTCAGATCACAGCTCAGCCACGACGGATTAAGCAAAGCTCGTCGAGTTTATCCGCTTTAAGACGTGGAAGGGGATGACCCTGGATCGACAGAATCGCGCCAAAACAGCTAGTAGCTACTCCACTTGATAAGATTGACTCACTCAGCAGCATTCCTCCTATTCTTAAAGTTTATATGCACTTTTGTGACGTTTCCATTCCCCAATATGAGGTCATCATACAGAATCAGAAGAAGCTGAAGAAGCTAGGATTGCTTAGGTTGATTGCCCATGGACTTGCACTGGTTCGAGTGCCTAAGGACGCAATCAGCCTTAAGCAAGCATATTGCCCCCCACAAAACGGTTGGAACGCGTCTCCTTTATCTGCCCAGTGTATAAATTCGTTTATCTGCTTCATCTAACAAAAGTATCTGCATCAACTTCTCTCATGAAAAACGTCCCAATCGATGAACATGAACTCTTACTTAAAGAAGTCTTCCGCAACTATCTTGGCATGTTTCCGACCATGTGACACACATGGTGTGTCATGCATTTTCTCTCAATGCCGCTTCATATGATCCATTTTCATCAACTACTTCATGTTGTGTAGTAATCAGTATACGCTTCTGAGCAGGGAATCCGCATGTCTAACTGTAAATGTGAAAAATTTCTGGTTATCGATGTAAAAGGCGGTGGGGGGGGAGATGTATGCAAGATGCCTCGCAGGTATCGGCGGTCGCTCGTCTCTATGCTGATGAAGAGACCGTTCCACAACTGTCTATTATGCGCTATAAAGCTCCCTTTCCGTGCGTATGAGCAGGCGAAGGCACACTCCGGTGCACCAATTCGACCTTGGAAGATTTGATTTAGAATATATTTAATATATGTATCTCCTGGCTCCGCCCCACTGTGGCCGTCCTGCGCTTTGTGTGATTTCGTGCCGCTATCTGATGCGGCTTGTTGCTCCGGTACCTCGCACCCCCCCCTGAGGGTACACCTAGCCATTGATAGTGATTTAGCGCTCAGAACTCAAATCCTGTAATACCACCAATAGTGTGACATCCCGCCTTTAACGATTGGTGGAAACGGGCTGGGCAGGCCAAACTCAAGCCCTCTTAGCCACGCCCCAAGCCTGCAGCGTAACATTATATATGCGTCTTCATATTCCGCCGTTAACACGTTACACCGCTTTTTTGAGGTCTTTTCTGCTGCTTCTGCTCTGTGCGCTTCTGCCCGCTTCCTGCTTTTTGGCGTTCTCTTTTGCAGGGCGACTGATATAGCAAGTACAAATTCCTATTTGACCCCCCTGCCCACGATTTGCCATCGCGGAATATGCCTTGAGACTGTTGAGATTGCATGTTTCTTCAAGCAGGCAATGCTGAGCAGCTTGACAGATGGTGACTACAAAAATCTAGTGAGCTGAATCAGCAACCACCTTTTTTCTGCTGCGTTTCACACATCGGAGTGATAGCCGCCCGCAGCTTTGACAGTGCTGATGTTTCCTCGTCGTTCTCTCATACAGTTAGTGTTATCGTTTCATCTGATCGTTGGCTGAAGCCGAGCCGAGCCCGAAGTGTATTCTCTCCACCCACCCACACTGATCACATGCTTCCCGACTATCTTCTCATCAGCACGATTTTCAAACAATTTCTTCACTTCCTCATTTCCTTCGATTCATCACTGTCCCATCTCTTACGTAGAGCTCACGTAACGAGTGCACACCTCTTAAGCTTAAAAGATGATCCAGCTCACGGTTTATCCTCTTATCCCGATCGATACTTCCCTCATCTTCAAAGTGCCTTCATCGATATGAGGGTTCTGCGTGAAGGTGAAATCTCCTATGCATCCATATAAATATTTAAGAATATAACCGCTCCTACTTAGCTAAGCCATCCACGCAATCTGCCAATCATTAGCGAGTCGCCCAGGAGAATTCCTCTCATTCAAGCTACCTTCTTGCAGAAGTGATGCCATCAGTCCAGACAACTTGTGTGGCCTACTAGCTGTTCCACTTTTCAGGTTAGTTGTTAAGAAAACTTCTGGTCACTGCAAGCCACTTTTCCGCAAAAATTTATTTTTGGTGACAGATTTCTGTCCATAGAGGTCGCTTGACAACTTTCAGACGTATATGGCATCCTTTTGGCATAAAAACACTAGGCGCGTGCGGCGCCAGGCGTCTCCAACTGTGACGGCGCTGATTTCTGTAGCTCTGGCACCAGTCGTTCTTGTGTCAAACTGATGTAACATGTGACGATCGTGCTGGTCGTGGGTCAAACCCTCGGGAACAACTTTCGGGACAAGCCGCCCAGGAGGCGCAGTCGTATTTAAAGGACTCCTCGAGCAAAACTTGGATCATCGTTATGAAGATCAGGATTTCTATTAACCACTGGGAGGGCAGGAGCTAAGGAAATGGGCGGACTAATTTATTGAGCAGCAAGAGAGCTTAGCACCACTGACGGCAGTTTTCCAAGGGTCCTTCAAATCACCCAAAGACTTTTGAGTTGCCCTACCTCACTATTCTGAAATTTTCAAAATGAATACCAATAATGAAGCTAAATCTCTTGATTCCCAAAGTCTGATAACATCTCTCTTTCTTTTTTGCTTTTTTTATACCCTACCTTCTCCATAACACTTCAGCACTGTTTGCCACCCAAATTCCAAAATCGATTCAGCTTTTTACTGAGTTTTTCTCCACAGGCGTATTCAGCTAAAAAGTTGCCTGGAGGGAAATCCTTCATGCTCCAAACATGAAT